GGGGCGCGGGCATTCACCTTCAGAAGTTTTGTGGCCTGCACCTGCGCCATGACAAGAAAAACAAATCTTTTGAATAGTGTGACACCACTTTTTTTTGCAGTTAATTGAAAAGGGGCCGGCCCGGCCGGCCTTGGGGCAGGACAAGGGTCTTGGCACATTGTCGGTCTTGTAGTCCGAACTTAGTTGAGTTGAACTTAAATTAGTTTCCAGACATTCGCACTGATCTCAGAGCTTCATGCATCTATTTTCAATAACTTTGAAAAAAAATCTAATCTCAATTCATCAAAATACTTGGGCCCGAACTCGTCACTCAAAAAGGAAATGCTGCGCTTCTTCCCGCCAGCTCCGCCCATAGCTGATGAAACAAATCGCTTGAAGCAGTTTGACTCACAAATTACATGACCATTGGCACACCATCATGCAATGATTTTAATTATTATGTTACATTACGGTGGTTCAGTGAACTTAAAGCATAACTCTTCAAGTTTCCCACGGCATCCTAACTGCTGCTGCGAGCTGAACCTGTTCAAAGCGGCCGGGCGAGTCTGTCCGTAAACTAAAAAGGGGATCCCATGTTTAACCCGCCAAGAGCCTTCAAGTCGTCAGGCCACACTCAGTTATCGGTCCAGCTGATGCTGTGACATGACAAAACAACAAATAATTACAACACAGAAAGTCAATAAACCCTTTGCCATTGCTACGCTATAATTATTATTAGCTGGCAGACTGCAAGTAACATCAGGGAAATCATGTAATTGTTCTTCAATAATAAATACAAGTCCCAGTTATGATTACTATGTAATATATTTTAAGGAAGCTTAGCAAAACTTCGAATGATCCCCACCAAAACCTTGAAGATTTCAACATTAGCGCTGTGTTTCTTGACAGAGCCGGCAGAAGAATACTTATCAATTCCATATTAGTCTCCCTGCTGCTGTGAGGAAAGCTGTGGCCAGCATAGCATCGACAAGAACCGGCGGAGCCAAGAGGCCTGGCAATTTGCCACTTTTCTTGGTCCTTTCAAATGTAGAAAAAGGACCCCACCAAGTCCCCCGAAAAATAGTTTTTTCCTGAGTTTCCCAAAGGAAACTTGACACTTGGTGGGGTCCGTTTTCCGGGGCGAACCCAAGTGGAAAATTGGGAAAGTTGGCCTTAAAAGTGACATAAGAAAAGCCAACCCCAGATCCGGAACCCAACCCCGATTAGGGAGAAAAAGCCTTATAGTTAGTTTGGCTTGCAGCCACAAGTGTGGAAGGGAAGAGCACCTAAATTGTCGGGCTGAAAGATAACATTGGCTTGAGGCTGCGAAATGTTCATCATGGTGGCCAGCTTGTCCGCAGCACCTTTGATTTCCACTTCCGTGGGATCATCAATTGCCGGTGGGATTGGCGGGCACCATGGTTCTTCAGGAGGTGTATCCGCTTCATCGGCTTCTTCTTCGACCTCAGATTCACCTTCAGTGGAGGATCGCTCTTCCTCCGAAGAGGGATCATCCACTGTCTCGCCAGCTCCTTCAGGGCCAATCAGGGGACTCTCTCTCATATGCGCTTGCAGTGCGGGATCTTGCAGTAGCAGTGGTTGGAGTCGGTGAGCATCAAAATAGTGGATACCTGGGATGAGCAATATTCGCCTGTCTTTGGTGGCTTGATGAAAGTACATCTTGCTTCCTCTGAGCCTGTGGACAAGAACTGGAAAGCCGTTATGTGAAGCACACAGCCACAGTGGAGAGCAATATCAATCGCCGGCATAGCCGTACAGGTATTCTCTATCGATGGAGCACGGAAAGAAACTACTTGCCGTGAGGCGGTGGTCACGACTGTGAGAGGCTAACGCTGCAGTGACTTCTTGCGTAAGCCTCAGCTTCGACTTCTGTGCAATGACCAGCCGATACCTTCTCAGAGATCGCACTCCATTCAAGGTCACTACCATAGCAATGGCAAGGGGCGGTTTGTCTTGTGAATTAAAGGGGGTATTAAGTCCCCACTCAAGGACCGCTTCTGCATCCGGTGGCACGTGCCTGGGCTCATGAAACTGTACAAGTCTATCTTTGAGGGTGTAGTACCCATAGTGATAAACCGCAAGCGTCTGAGCCATCCCAATCAGCCCCGCCATATCAATGGGGGACACGATGTACGTATGTTTGATGGCTCTGGTGAGCGCGACAGTGGCTCGCCCAAAACAGTCTTCTTTGTCTTCTAGCGATGCTCCTCGGCGGCCCCCACTTAAGAAGCCGCATCCTGTTTGGACAACAACTGCTATTCGCGCTTTGGCCCCTGCAGCAGACGAGGTCGTGGCTATTCTCAGTCCTCCAAACCAAGCTGCCTGAAAGCCATGCTGCAGTAGTTGGGTGTGCACCGCCGTGCGATTGCACATTACCAAGAGCTGCGCTGTTGCTCCTTGATTGAGGTCCCGATGACACTTTTGCAAATAGTTGAGAAACACTACAATATCCTCAATGGCAGCTAAAAGATCTCTGGAAGTTCTGGGTACGTCCCAGAATACTGTACGGAACCCTCCGTGCTCAGCAGTATGGTCGTGAGGGACAAAATTGCCTATTTGGATGGGATTCTGATCATGTAGCACTAGTTCCGGGTATCTAACTGCGACGATGGCTTTATACGTCAACATGGACACCCTGGAGCTGTTGGGCAGTATGATGCCCCATCTATGTGGACCATCTAAGCCGGCTGCTTCGACCGTGGTTGTGCACTCAGGGACTCCAAATTCCTCTGGCGCCGTAGCAATAAGCAGGACAGCTAATATTGCAGATATCAGGCAACTCTTAACATTCAGGTGGCTAAGCGTTGCTTCACTGAATAGGCGCAACAGTGAGGTCGGTAGGCGTTGGGCAATTGCTTCAGGAGTCCAAATGCCTGTATGTGGTGCTTGGCCCAGGTTGAGTAGCCCGGCCACTTCAGAGTCGTTATCCTGACTCGCATCCGGCCAGAGGAGGGCAACTAGCTTGGTAAGCCGGGCAGGGGGCAAATAGTCTCCAGGGCGATTCAAGGCTCGTAGTCCAAGGGGACGGTGAAGAAGTTTCTGCCTATTCGCTGCTGCTGCCCTTCCCTTGGATAGGCCTCCAGGTGTTTGCCTGTGGTCTCACAAAGACAATCAGTGCCGGTTGCTGGATTGCAGCTAAGGCAGCAACTTCATGGTAGTTGCCGTACTGCTGACTTTCATCCATAAATGCAAGCCACGCCTTGGAGAGCCAGAGACTAAATGACGAGTATTTCATGGCCATTTCCGCAGTAGCGGAGCCTCCAGTTGCAATTAGAATGCGCTTCTCAGCAATGACTCTATTGCGATCACTGCACCGAACATCAATTTTTGTTGCATAAGCTTCGCCCTTTCCTTCCTCGATGCGGCCCAATAAACGCCCAAAGGCTGTTTGCGTCGGTGGGGAAAGATCACTGATTTGGTCAGCAAGAGCTTTTGCAGCAACGTTCTCTTTGGTGTAAACAATCGCATAGAAGTCACTGAGTTCGCAGCTGAGAGCAATTAACAGAACTGCTAGGGAACGAGTCTTTCCGGCCCCGAACACGCCTGCAATACAAAGGTCAGATCGGCCAGTGAGGATCGCCAGGAGCAATGCTACGGTCACAGTGAGGACATGCCCATCCCCATGACTTGCCAGGGAGAGTAGGCTGTCACGCATGTATTCATCATGCGGACCTGGGAGAACAACTCCAATGGGTGTCAATAAGCGACAGAGCACTCGGACCAATGCATCTGTCAATTTTGTCCTGCGTTCGCTCATCATTCTTCTCACAGGGATATTGGGCTGGAGAATGCCCATGGTCAATGGGAGTCGCGCCGGGTTGGCTTGTGCAAAGACCAGCAATTCACACCGACTTCGTGTGTCACCAAGGAATGCCATTTCTTCCATCAACACAGAGAAGTTTGCATGAAATACAATAGGCTGCGGCCAATCGCGCGCTGGTTCGAAGTATGCCACCTCCGCTGGTTGTTGCACTAGAAGGCGGCCACAGAAGGCAAATGCGACAGGCTTGGAGACTAGGACGAGCTCAAGTGACTTCGGGGCAATTCGACGATATGCCCGGGAATCTGCGGATCGACTAGTGCCTTGCATCACTTTTTCTTGGACCAGGAAGATGGCACAGCGACGTGGGCCATCAGGGAGCTGAAAAAGCGCAAAGAGTGCCCTACCTGCCATAACATTGGCTTCCATGCTTCCTAAATTGCCATTTACACATAGGCTCCATGGCGACACGGAAGGAACTGCTTTCGGGTCGCAGAAGAGCAAGAGGGGGTTACCCTCTGTGAGCAGCTGTAGAACATGGAAACCCGCAAAGGCCTCATATCCATATCGGACCACAAGCTCGACGCCCGGTTGGCCTCGTTCTTGTCGTTGCGCCAACTCAACGCTGGTCCAGGGTTGGAGGTGTTGCAGCTGACGACCAGCATGGTAAGCGTCCAATTGTGGCAATACCATGTCCAGCAAGAAGATCAGTGTGCGCAGAGAAAAACCACGGAGGAATTCAGCTAACAGGCTCCTCATGAGTTCCCCTCCTTCCGCGTGCGCCTGCCCAGGGATTGGGATCATGTCAATTAAGGCCTGTCGCAAGTCCTGTTCCGTCGCAAGGGGGTCATCTCTTACATCTCTGCCATCACACGGCACCGTATGTAAATCAGAGCTTAAATTTGGATCCTAACCGCCAAGAAGACAACACCTCCGAGATACAGGAAACCGAAACATGAAAAACAAAAATCAAAAACAACGCAAGCGAAAACACTGGGACATGCGGATCACTGGCAGCCGCTCTTTGTTTTTCTCGCACTCGATGGGGAGTCACTCTGACGCAGCCATCGCATTGCTGCCAAGCTGGAAAAACACATATGTCGTTTCCCTCCAAAATGCGAGGGTGAGCAATTGCAAAGAGGGGCCTGCATCGGCCATCCATCAAGGTCTCCATGGACCCTCAAAAACTCTTTCATCATCACGTCACCATTTCCAGCATTTGCAAAACGACCTTTTGTAGTCAGTAAAACTCCAAGGGTGTGCCGGTGGCGCCGGAGATTTCAGGTGCTGCATTGGTAGCGGCTGCCGAGGCTGCTGATTGCTGGGGCGCAGCGGCAAGAGCAGCTGCAGGTGCTGGGTCTTGAGGAGCAAGGGTGTCGCAGCGGCGCTTCATGCGGATCATCATCTCGGCAGTCCGAAGCACCAACATAGCATCTGTCAATGTAGCATGGAAATCTGCGTGCAGCGCTGTATCGTATTGTTGTTCAAACCATGTAATAAAGGTCTCGAGAGCCGGCACCGCTTGGAAAATTGAATCATGGTATTGGGCATGGTTCTCCAAAAGGATCTCTGTCATCGGCCGACCCTGGGGCGGCAACACCAAATGTAAAGGAGTTTCTGGAGGCTGTCCAGGCCACAACATTCGTTCCAGCAAATACAGTGACTGACTTGCATGGTGCCAAAGGTCGTATATGGAGCAAAGGTACTTTGTCTGGCCGCATACTTCAAGGAGGAAGCGGCACGCGACAATCATTCTGTCAAAGTCGCAGATACGTCGCTCTTGTGCGTTCTGCGCGGCCACGACGTCAGGGTCAGCTGGTTCTAAAAAGGCAAGTGCCATTGAGATGGCAGCAGTGACTCGCACGATGTGCTCGGGCGACATTCGTGAAGTCGGTGAGCTCACGGTCAAGCTGGGAGATGGTGAAGCTCAAGGGTGGGAAAAGGTTTCGGCCAAACCTAGGGTGGGACAAACAAACAGTCCCAGCTTGAAACAAAACTTCGAGGCAAAATGGACATGGTCACATGCGACTGCTGCACTTGCCACAAGATGAAATCAGAACCATTTTGGTATGTATGCAACTGGAAGCACTGTAATCACAAGATGTACAATTGCAACAAGGAAATTATTTCGGAAGGTTTCACTGCACAGGCAAGAAGGAAAGTGAGAAACGAAGTTGTTTGTTTCAACTGGGAGTGCAGGTAGCACCCGAACTGAATTGTTTATCCAATTTCAGGACATTCACTGGGAGGCAACTGGGTGAAGTCTTCTTGGCTGTTTTTTTTTTTAAAAAAGAAATTTTCACGTCTCAAAATTTAATGCGCTATCAAAGTTGTTGACCGCAAGCTTAAATTTGGATCCTAACCGCCAAGAAGACAACACCTCCGAGATACAGGAAACCGAAACATGAAAAACAAAAATCAAAAACAACGCAAGCGAAAACACTGGGACATGCGGATCACTGGCAGCCGCTCTTTGTTTTTCTCGCGCTCGATGGGGAGTCACTCTGACGCAGCCATCGCATTGCTGCCAAGCTGGAAAAACACATATGTCGTTTCCCTCCAAAATGCGAGGGTGAGCAATTGCAAAGAGGGGCCTGCATCGGCCATCCATCAAGGTCTCCATGGACCCTCAAAAACTCTTTCATCATCACGTCACCATTTCCAGCATTTGCAAAACTCCCCATCTTAACCGCATGACTCATATTTTGACAAAATCTTTTTGACCATTAGTGTGACCAATTCCTTAGGGGTTGGTTTTATGGTTAGGGCACTAAGGTCATCACGGGACGGGCCGTCCGCAATATTACTGGCAGAGGGAACTCGGGCGTACCAGGCATTCAATCCTACCTCATCCTCAAGTCTAAGCAAATCCATGACAAGGCTCAGGCCGGGTTGTGTACGAGCTTTTCCTGCAATGGATACGTCCCTGGTGGCGTTGTTATCCACGTAGCATACACACGGCCTACCTCTCAGCTTTTTCTTCCAAAGAGACATGCCGAGCAAGAGGGCGAGCAGTTCCGCCTCGAAAATCACCGTTGACTTCGCTGGGAATCCTAAGATCCTCAAGAGCTCGTAGTCAAGCTTGCATGAGAAGGCCGCCACTTGTACGCCCCTATGGTCCACCAGTACGCCACCTAAACCACAAGGCCAAGCTTCACAGTCTGGATTAAAGCTTGCATCAGTGAAAAGGAAAAGCGGCTCATCCCATGAGGAGGTCACCTCGCGAGGCCTAGTCTGGGTGAGGCATCCCTTGAAGACATTCAGGTAATGAGCCAGGTCAGGCAGGACGTCCGGGCCAACCCCCGAGTATGCATGGGCCGTCACTGAATTTAAGCAAAGCTTGGAGGCCCTCCCCCACACCTGAGAATTGGCAAACTGCATACGCCCTCGGAGGGCAAGGGCCTCAGGCACAGACAGCTTCCCACTACTGAGAATTTCGTCGATCTTTGCAGAAAGTTCGGCCGCACGCTGTTCGGTGTTTGCAAGGCGCACAACCCCAGCTTTCCATGCAGATAGGTCAACTTCAACTCCCAAGGCTTTAAACTTATTTGCAAACGGTAGGTCCTTCTCACCGGATGAGACCATCCAACCAAGGAGCTTGAAGAATTGTTCAACAACTATGGCAACCGACTCGCTTTCGCCTGCCCTGGCCAGCGTCACGAAGTCATCAAAGAAATTTGACCAGGCCAACTTCAGCATGCGGCAACCTAACCACCAAAGGGAGTGCGCCACTCGCAAGAATCCATAAACTGAGCGCGACGCACCGAAAGGCAGTGCCCTCATGGAATAGATTTTAGCAGTTTTGCTACTTGGGTCGAAAACTGCAATGTACGACACCCAGCGGGAGAGCGGTGAGACAGCCAGTTGCCTATATGCCGCCGAAAGGTCCACCGTTTTGCCTACCCATTCTTGGTGAGGGGCAAGTCGTAGCAGTTCCATGCATAGCGCCGCAACGACGTCTAACGTGTGGAGCTTTGCATTGCTATCGACCTGGACCGTGGCATCGACCCCCGATGCGGAGAAGTCGTCGATCAATCTCACCTTCAGCTTCTCTCCAGTACCTTGTTTAATGCCGAAACGTCTGCTGATCACTGCATTGCTCGGCAAGTCAGCTGGGTCGATGGGGCCTTCCAACCAACCACACAGAACCTCCTCTTGAGTCTTTGCAAAAACTTCTTCGTCTATGAAGCTGTCTCCGGAAGATCTCACTGAGGCCAAGAGGCACTTGCGGCCTGAGGAAGCTGTCGAAGCCAATTCTTCTTCCGTGATCTTCGCAGGCTTAAAGCTGGATTCAAAACATTCCACATGTTGGGCTGCTCCTGAAAGGGCAATTCCCTGAGTGACCTCCTCGAAGACACCACCGTCAGGGTATCGGTAGTAGGCCATCATTTCCTTCCATAGGAGAAGGCGTTTGGGAGCGAGGATACCCTTAACAGAGTCAGGCAGGGTTTTGTGCAACTCGGATTCATCTGCAGAGAGTTCCTTGGCCCTCGCAAGCCGGTGTTTCATCTCGGCCAGTCGCAGCTCAGCTACCCGTCTTTCAGAATTTGTCGCAAGGAAGCGAATGGCTTCAGCAAGGACACTAGGCAAACGGGCAGCCTTACCCCCTGGGTGGCCAACTTCAACTGCACGGTTTACAAACTCTTCGCAGGACCTGAAGACCCCAAAGGTGAGCCTCTTCATGTTTGGTGCACTACCTGGCTGAAGGCTATAATTGTTAGGGTTATCAAATTCAGGATTATCACCCCCAGGATTATCACCCCCAGGATTATCACCCCCAGGATTATCACCCCCAGGATTATCACCCCCCATTAACCGCATTGGTTTTTTGAGTAAACAGGCGCTGGCAGGAATGTGGAGCCATTGCTCAGTGAGTTTTTCGCCTGGCACGACCGGTGGCACACAGTCGTTAGGGACCATCACATCAATGAATCTTGCAAATTCGGAGACTAGAGGTGGCAACTTGCTGGACTTGGGCTGCATTCCCGTGATGGACCTCAGGTATGGATAGGACGTCTCATCAGGCAAACACAATTCACCGGCAGGCGGTTTCCAACCTTGCATCACGACATGCTGGGCCAGGAAAAAGGCGATGTGGAACGCCAGCTTCATGGGGTATGCTGTCTCTTCAGCAGTCGAAAAGGTAGCGCCATTATTGGTTAAACCCCAAGGTTTATGCCTATGATGGGGGCCTATTCCTGGGCAGAGGTTATTGAGGTTATGCAAGGTTTTAGTGTTATGGGCCAGGAGGGTCCATTTTGGCCTGTCCGACCCGTATGCGCAGGCCTGATGGACTGTGAAAGTCAGCCTGCTTTTTAAGGGCGCAAAGAATGAGGTCCTCCAATATAAGGAAGACCGGGGATTTTCAATGCACACCACTTTTTGAGTAGCAAGGCACATCAAACAGACCTTAGTGACGAATGCATATAGGGAGTTGGCCGATTCCACACGAATCTTTTCAACACCTGTCAAGGATTTGACTCCATCGGGCAGATTGTCAGTGCGCAGAGGTTTTGGTCCAGGGACCCATTTTCCCGTGAGCAGGCGAAGCGGAATTCCTCTGGCGCGGCTACAAGTACCACAAGGAGGCGCTGCAAATATTCCTACACAATTTGGTGATGACAACCACTGCATGCAAATGGCTTGACCTTCACTGGATGTGAGGTCGGCTGTCAGCAAATGTCCTGAGTTCTTTTGGCGCCTGTGGTCGACGCCAAATGATGATTTCAAACCGAAGAACTGCAAACACGTGGTAACACGTGCGGAACCTGCACACAATTCAATGAAGAAAGGATCTTGTGGCATGGCTTTCGGGCTGCATTCTGGTTGGGCGGCAGGTGGAAGCACAGGTTCAGGTCCTTGCGGAGGCATGGAGGAAACGGTTTCTGTACACGCCAAATTGGCAGCGGAGCTAGGCAAAGCAGTTGGCTCAGGTGAACCCTCATTCGGCTTTGGAAAAATTTGCACTGGTGAAACACTGGTGCGACAACGCTTCGGCTCGCACTGTTCAGGGTGCTCCTGCAAGTCAAACAGTTTCACTGGGGACTTGCGTTTACAAGCAACAATGGGGCTTGGCTCATTATGGGCTTGAGGTAGTCAAGCCTTCTTATGGTCCAACATGCAATGCTGTCCGTAACATATCGCGCAAACATGGAAACCCTTCTTGCAGCGGGAACCCTCAAGTTGCTCTTTGCACTTTCTCAGGGAGAAATCGAAACAGATCGGCTCGCCTGTTGGCATGGTTGCAGTGCCCCCAGCCTCTCTGATTTGCTGGGGAATTCTTTGGTCGGACCGAAACTTGCCTTTCCCTTTTCCTTTGACTGCATAGGGCTTGAAGCGGTTGAACCCTTTCTTGCTTCCTTTGGCAGGTGCAGGGCTCGATGGTTTGCCTCCGGTCGGAGGCTGCGTTGGAGTCGGCTTCTGGGCTTGCTGCTTTGCAGGTGCAGGAAGCAATGTGAAACTCACCTCATAGGATTTCAAGGCCTCCTCAAGTTTGGTGTCAAGGGCGGCTACTCCGGCAGCATCTGGTCTTGGTTTTGTGTTGACTTCAATAAGGCTGCACCACGCCGCTCGATCGGCAGCGAGCAATTGGGACACGCTGCATCTGCTATAGCCCACTGGCGGATCCCTGTTCAAATGATTGAAAAGCAGCTGGACATAGCGGTCATGTTTGGAAAACGTCATGATGCCCGCGAAATCAAGGGCCAATCCCCTTCGTTTGAACGACTCCAGAGCTTGGTATGATGACTGAACTGCAGCTTCATGGTCCGTCTCACGGTCCTTTATCACGATCTTGGATGCTTCCACCTCCAGGTGCTTTGCTGGCGTCTTGGTTGACACAGAAAGCTCAGTCAGTCTGCTGAAGCATTTTTCCAGAGGTATGTACCGAAGTATGTTTTGATCATACATCTGCGAAGCTTGGTCAAGCAATGAATGGGCAGGTTCTGTATGGCCCTCAATGAGCACCCCTGCTAACCGAGCACGCAAATTTGCTAGGCGCGCTTCCTTTTCAGCCTGAGGCACCTTCTTCACAGTGAGCGGGTCCGGGTTGGTGACCTGCTCTTTCAACAATGCCAAAAGTTGAGTCTGGCTTTCGAAGAGCAGCCGTTTGAGCGAAGCTACTCCTCCTACCGATGCTGAAGGGTCAAGCTGTCGAACCCATTGGGCAAACTCGTCATTGGAGATAGGTTGTCCGGGCTGTCCGAAGGAATAGGCTAGCGCTGAAATGGTGTTCACACCTGAATTCTTTAGCGCCACTCTCAGGGCGCTCGGAACATTTACTTGATCCAGGCGCAGATCAAACTGGGCTTCTGAATCAACTATCGATGTCATGGCTCAGCAAAGGAAAGGCAGGGAGGTGCGGTGAAGAAGAAAGCAAATGAAAAACACTGGCATGCTCCTTTTCATTAAGAAAAACCCTGGTAATAAATAAATTTTTGCATCATTTCAAATTGTTTGACATGCATCCTGAATTCTTGAACCGTCAAGCCAGCGGTTTGCTGACAAAATGGAGGTACATCCCTCTCGTGACATGGCTGCATGGCCAATGTAAGACCGGGTCCATGCCCGCAATGATTCAATGGTCAACCATCAACTGCAACCCATCTTTTTTTCACTGGCATCACCTCCAGTGCTTTGCAAGACATCGGTTTGATGTCTTCATCTGCTATTGCAGGATTTACATAAAACATTCCATGCCGTCGCCTCCGTGCAAGGTGCATAGGTGCCTGTGAGGCGTCTTCCGCAAACAGTGAACATCACACCATCTTTGACATCACCATCGTGTCTGTGCACTAGATGGGACTTCGAGTGCACAAACCAAAGTTGATTTTCCGGGATCTTTGCTCGGAATCTCTTCACCCTGGAAGCAGGTTCTGGCGCCGCTGACTCAGCTGAGGAGAGTGCCCCATCGGAGTCAGAAGATGATGAACTCTCCTCAGGCCCTGACTCGTGCTGTGCTGCCTCAGATGCAGCCAGCTCGTCGCCATCCAGTGGTGCCTGGCTGTCTTGGTCAGGTCCCGCAAGGTCGACACCACCCCCTGAGCATTCCAGGAGCAGGCTAACATTGCTTTCACCCTCAGCGTGGCTAGGTGCTGCATCATCAGCTGCTTGTTGAACCAGTCCATCATGAAATTCCTGTGACCCAACCTCTTGATACGCCTTGAAGAATTCGGAGCGCTGAGAATCAGGCGAAAAGCTCCCTTCCGCAATTGAGTCAATCACCTTTTGAAGCTCGGCCACCGGTGAGCAGGCCAAATCCCTGGAATAAATGGCATAGGTCTCATTCAAGCTCGAAGCATGGCGGCCTAACAGAGATCTTACTGCTGGGCTCAGACCGAACCTCGCGCACCAAGACAAGGTAGTAGCTTTGAGGCTGTGACTCGAAACTGAAGCGCCTGAAGCAGCGACATCTGGGTCAGGGGAACCTATGAAACTTCGGACCATAGTGGAGACCTCTGATGCCCTAAGGCCTCGCTGCATAAACACACCTGGTTCACCCGAAGGAGCATGTAGCAATGGTCCATTGATAGGTGTCTGCAGGTCCATTCCCGCACTTCTGAGAACATGCAAAGCGTCCCCAACCCAGATCTGACCATCCACTCCTCTCGCAGGCACTACAATGGGCAGGAGCCGAGTTTTCAGCATGGCCAGACGTCCGGTCTTATGGTTGCAGGTCTCCACAGTGACGAAGCCCCCATCACCTGTGAAGTCAGACACAACAGAATGAATCATCAAGAGATCACTGTTGCGGCATCTACCATACAATGCAAAAAGAATGTAAGCAATCACAGCACGATCCATGAGGTGGAGGCTATCATCACGCAGTGATTTGTGCAAGCCTTTCACTTGGGCCACCGTCAACACCAATGCCTGTTTCAGCAACCGTTTCCTGGATAACATCAACTCGCAAATGCCGATCAAACGCCGGCTGTTCAATGCTGATCCAAGTCCTTCAAAACCCAGCAGGTGGAAAGCAAACCTGAACGCTGACAGTGCCGAACTTCCCTTAGTGCAGGGTGCGGCTTCTTCTTTCAGCTGTTCAAAATACCTCCAAATGCAAGCTTCCGAGAAGGGTTCAATGTCAGATCTTCCCAAACGGTCGAACCACCTCAGGTATGAAAGCAAGGCGTTCGCCCTTTTCACCAAGGTGGCTGGTGCCCTAGTCCCAAGAACCGCCTCGACGATCCTGTGCGCACCACACAGCTGCTCTGTCTCACTGCCCAGGGCCAGGATGTGTCTCCCAGTTGCACTGCTGTTCAAATCATGACGCAAAACAATGAGCAACTTCTGAATTGCTGCACTGCGAAGTTTGTCTTGCACTGCATCAAAGGGCCCATCATCGGTGGACCCAACACAAGCAGAAAAAACCGGAAACTTATCAGGAAATCGTGCAACATCTGCGATGGTTTTTGCAACAGCATGGGGCTCGGGCTCGCCACTGAAGTCACAGAAGGAACCAATGGGCATCTCCGGCACTAAGGACTGGCTGAAGGGTTCATCACTGAAAAGTTCTTTATAGAAACTTGTCTCCCAGGGCAGCACAATATCAGTCGTCTTGCAATTGGAAAGGAGTGCTCTTGCAAACGATGCATCCTGAATGTGGGCCGGTACAGTAGGCTGCGAAACAATTTCACCACTCTGAAAAGCTGCAACAACAGGATCCAGGCCAACACCGTCCGCAGCTCCACTTCCGGGCATCTGGAATGGGGGCCATTCCGCACATTCACCTGAAGGCACAGGAGATGGATGATCTAATTGTTGGGGAAACTCGTCAGGAATAAACTCACCGAAAAAATCACCATCGTCAGCTTCAGGATTGTTTGCATGGCCAAGTAAAGGCTGATCAAAACCAGTGTTGTCCGTGTTTTGCAACCTGTCATGTGGGGAAGCGGCATGAGTGTCATCAATGTTCCAAGAAGTCTGGTCCCCGTCAAAGTCCATGGCAAAGAATCAGGCCCCCACTTAACCGTAAAGCAACCAAATGAAGCAAGAAAACCAGCCCAGGAGAAATGAAACTGCGAACTGCACCACAGCAAAGCAAAATGAATGTGAAAGAGTCTGAGTGCCGGATGTGCCCAGAGTGATCTGGGTAGCACAGGCTACAAGCCCACGATGTCGCGCCCCCATCTACAAACAAACAAACAGTCCCAGCTTGAAACAAAACTTCGAGGCAAAATGGACATGGTCACATGCGACTGCTGCACTTGCCACAAGATGAAATCAGAACCATTTTGGTATGTATGCAACTGGAAGCACTGTAATCACAAGATGTACAATTGCAACAAGGAAATTATTTCGGAAGGTTTCACTGCACAGGCAAGAAGGAAAGTGAGAAACGAAGTTGTTTGTTTCAACTGGGAGTGCAGGTAGCACCGGAACTGAATTGTTTATCCAATTTCAGGACATTCACTGGGAGGCAACTGGGTGAAGTCTTCTTGGCTGATTTGTTTTTTAAAAAAAAGAAATTTTCACGTCTCAAAATTTAATGCGCTATCAACGTTGTTGACCGCAAGCATCCCTCGCCAGCAGCCTGCAGAAGCGAACTTAGGGTGCGTTTGCAGTGATCAGGAAGATCAAAGCTAACCCATGAAAGTACTCGCAAGAGCCCTTCACATCGTATCCCATGCGGTATGACCTCTGGGGTCGTAATCTGTAGATAATCAATATGATGGGTGCCTTCTTCAATGGGCGTGAACAATAGGTGGCCATATGCATGTCGCGCCCGGCCACTCCAGGATGGTTGCCCGTCGATGAGGACGATATTATAGCTCAAGTCTGTAAGGGTGGCAGGATGCCACACGCAGAGTCGGTCCTCAAGACAATGCAGAAGCGTCACTCTGCGCTCCCCAGTTGCCAATCTCAGCATTTCGGGCGGCGAGGCAATTGCTGCCACCTTGGTGGTACCTGGAAAGCAATCGAATTCATTGAGCACTTTGTGGATTGCCAGTCCAGTATACGATCCCGCCGAGAAGCCAAGGACATCAATATCCCTAGTTCCGTCCGGGATGGACGCCGTCACGTAACGAGGAAAGCATGATCTCAAAAACAGCAATTTGCCCTGTGGGTGATAACACCTGAAGATTTGCCGAACTGCAGTGACCCATGTGGGATGGGGAGGCCTTGCATGTGCTGGCCGGATGGTCGCCGCGGTCAATAACCTTATGGCACGGGTAATCAGAAGCTTTCGATTGGCAAATTGATCCGGCAAAAATTCCTTCCTCTCTTACTCCATCCCAGGGCAGTGGAAAAGAGCTGGTAGATTGCGTACTCATGTGTGGTTTTAGTCAGCCCGAGTTGAGTGATGCGCTGCTCCCAATCATCTGTCATTGCAAGAGAGGGGCCATACACTTTCATTTGCGCATGATTCTGAAAGAAAATGTCGTACTCATGGTCAGGGCTTAGCAACCCACCACCCAATCCACTGCAATGCACTGTGAGGGGTCTGTCCGGCATGGGAGAGTCCTCTTGCCAAAGACTGTTCAGCGAAAGAATCCATCGTGCCCATTTCTTCGGCCGATCAAACGGAGCTTGCACAGCTTGCAAAATGTTGGCTGCATCCCCTGTATAGATCCGCTGGGAGCACTGCACGAGATCAAATACTTCTCCTTTCATTTCTATTGTCCAATCCTCTGGGGCACGGAACACGGTTGGGAGGCCAAATGTGAGGTCAGCGGCCTGGACAAGGGCTCTACACTGAGTTCCAATTGCAGGGCTTCGTTCCCACAAACCGAGCAACGCCACTTGTTGCTGGTATGAGAGCGGGGACGGTGGAATCTTCGCATGGACACGCAGGCCGATAACTGGGAGAAAGTTTTGGTGGAGCCACTGCGGCTGCCACTCTGCTGTCCCAAAAAGGGCCGCTGCCAGTGGTAACCAGCCAAATTGCGCTAATTCCTTCAGTCGAGATGGAAGCCGTTGCTTGGCTCTGGTTCCAAACCCATGCAGTATGGGAGGCCTCATGAAGCCCGGTTCAATTTCCATGGCCTGATAGATCTTGTCTCCTGGTAACACCTTAATCACAACTTCGCCTGGGAGAAGGCTGAGTGTTGGCAGGGCCCCTTGCTCATAGGCGGGCCGGGCCCACTTATGAAAGTTGGGTTGTCTGCCCTGGAAGCCGTCAAGGATGCCTCGCAAGTGTCCATGTCTAGGCCACTGACCTGTTGCAGGTACAGGAAAAGTGACTAGCCCTGACCATTGCCCTTATCTGCTCCAGGCGTGACACCAATCAGCTGCACATCGGGTAGCGGTGCCCAATAGTGGTGATCCTAGCAGCCCGCTGGACACAGCAGTTTCAGTGTCACAAGGCGGTTGGGTTGTCGATAAGTAGCTTTCGACATGGCTGCGGTATGCTGTGCTGGCAATGGTGGCGAGTTCATCTGGATCTCGCTCAGGGTCGATCAGGTCAGTCTCCAGAATTGGCCTACCATGTCCAGATGCCAACACAATGACTAACCCAGCATTGATTTGTGAAAGCTTCACTTACCAGTATGACGCCTTTGTTAGCCACAGGTTTCTGTGCTTCAGGGGTAGCTCGGTGGTCAGGCGATCCTGGGCACGACTGAGCCGTGGGCGAGGAGTTGCTACTCTGCTCTGCTTCCCGTTCAGTGGGGCGTGGGCTCGAGGGTTCAGACCCACCAAAGTCAACCTCCTCCTCGATGTTTCCTGTATGGTCAGGGGGCGGGGACCGTACACCACTGATCGCAAGGTTTTCAACGCTCCGTGACTTAGGCAGCTTAATAGGGGGGCCAGGTTGCTGTTGCGTGGCTTGACCAGTGTCAACAGATCTTGCTCTCTTCTGTGCAGGTGCAATCGGGCTACTCGGTTGTGCTTCAGGTTGTCGGCATTCTTTTTCACGGGGGTCCGCTTGGTACCTTTGGGCTCCCGGTGCAGGGCCACGCCAAAAAGGCGAAATCCACGCAGAAGCATGGCCCCCCGCAAGCACCAGGCGCACCCTGGGGCGGTACCCTTTCCACACCACGAGTCCCAGGTCAACCAAGGAGAGTGGATCCACTCACCGAGTGACGTGGGAACCGAAACCATTCATTTCCACCAAGAATGTACAGCATAAACCGTACACCCCGAATGGACGTGGAGACGGAACCCATTCATTTCACCCAAGATGATCACCACTCAATCCAAGGGACCAACTCATGATGCCCCCATAGGTTCCCGGACTCCAGCGATTACCGGAGAAGACGATCCAAGAAAGGAGTGGAAAGTCTTAGTCACCTTTTCAGTGACCCCAGTCCCTATGGAGCACAGCTCGGACCTTAGAGCCAAAAACAAGGTCCTCACTGTGGCCAGACTGTACATTGAGCCCACTCTCCCCGAAGGTTGAGAGTGAACCGGTCGGTGACCCAGTCGTTAGCGATCCCATGTATCCCAGGGGGATACACCTGTCTTGCGACAGGACCCTAACACTGTTAGGGAGGAACCGACGGTCTTGTCCACCGCGAGCTTAGCTACCCAACGATGAATATTGACCGTTAGCCAACGGGTTGCCCCGTTGACCCCTCCTCGAGACAAGTCCCCAAGTCTCTAAGAGGTTCACCGACCTTGCCTGTTCCCCCGTGTCATCATTGGGTGTTGCTACCCTAGACACAAGGTAAGGTGAGACCCGTCGGTCCCGTACCACGTGTGTACCGATCGGTCCGGGAGAACCCCGAGATACCGCACGATCACCCAAGGATGTGCGCAAACACAAACGAGGGTGGGACATGAGGAGCAACCCAACATGTCAACACACGCCGACTAGGGGGTACCAAGGTACCGTGTAAATTCACGGTTCGTTAGGGACGGGGGCCTTCAGCAACTCCCCTGCGCTAAATGCACAGTTTAACGTCCCCCCGGACCCTCTCGGGTCCACCTCCCCCTGTTGAGCACATGGTATTGGGGACCCCATGCCCCTACCCATGCTCTATGCATGATAGCCACAGCTCCTGAATTTCAAAGAGTGTTACGGGCACACAATCACTATCGATGAGAGCAAAGTTGATGTCTGGGAAGAGAAAGACACACGCATCCAATATGTAGGTGCCAGCCCATGTGGGGTGCACCTTATCCAGCCCCGTGTCTGCCGATATGGGCACAAACACAACTGTGGTACGCTCTTCATACGGGCCCACATATCGTATTCGCTCCTTCCACCACGCAGCGACCATGGGCCAGTGACTTAGCCCTGTAGTGTCGGACACCGTCGCTGGTCTCGATTGTCAGTGATGAGGTAGACAGTCTGGAAGGCTAGGAAATCCGCAGCTTGGCTGATGATCCATCGATAAAGGCTGTGCCACTTTGGTCCTGGCATAACCTCGACACCATCCACGACTTTTATCTCATAATCGTGTCTATCAGGATCACCAGACTTTTTATGAGGGTCTCCAAACCGCCACTGGTGATGTACAGACTGATTCAAGCCATACTCAGTGGAGATGTCCTTATAGAGGCCTAGAGCTTCCAACAGGTCATCAAATTGCGCTAAGGGATCAGCTTCGAACCAAAGGTGTTCCGCCTGCTGCCTGGTTAGAAGTTCCATAGATGAAATTGCAAGGCAAAGCCCCTGGACCAGTCTACGGCCAGAGACAGTGCACAATGGTATTAGTTAGGGGGGCCAGCGTTGTGATACCCCTGACCAGTCTACGGCCAGAAGTACCACACTGGCGGATTGACAATGAAACAAAAATTCCAATGATCGCGAAGAGAACCGAGAAAACCGAACCAGAAGGAGATTGTTGCAGAGCAATATGATAGGGTAAGCTATTAAGCTGGGGCAAGCCCTACTGTTCACTGGTTTGAGCCATAAGGTGCAACAGCACATAGGCACGAAGTCATTAGCCATGCCAAGAGCAGCCATAGGATTTCAATACTGTGTAGCCTTGCTTGCATGAACGTGAATCCTTCAAAGCCAAACTTTTCCGATTCTCTTCCGAGCGAGACCCCGTCCG